ACGTTTCCTGGAAAATTTCTTGAGATATCTTCTCCTTTCATGACTCGCATCAATTCTTTTTCTCTAGCGCTGGATGACTTGTCCGTCAAAAAGCAGTTGAGGGCTGTTTTGGCAGCTAAAATGAGAAACGGAAACATAAGTCTTTATGGACCTCTTGATTATCCAAGAACTTGTAACGATATAGGCGGTCTCAGAAGCATATGGTCACGAATTCCTACAGGGTTGTCACAGCAGCATATAAAAGGCCGATAAAAAGGTCACCAAAACAACAACGTTCGAGTATTGGTTCTACCGATGGTTTATACTTTGTGGTGATGCAAGGACCTGAACACACTAAAACCGGCTGGTGACGGCCACGAAGCTATAAAAGTAGGGAGAGCATTCCAAAGTTGTCACTCCTGTTCCGAGGAAAAGTCCCGTCTGCTGAACTGACAGGCAAGTTTCAGGCTATGATCTCGGAAGTGTACGATGGCTGTAGGGTGCTTCGAAAAGAGTGGTTTAGCTGGTTTACGATTCGATAGATGAGTCGCGTCGCCAAAGTCATTCAGAGAATACAGAGGCCTATGTCTTCGTGTTCTTAGAATTTCAATATCTCCTACCAAATTGTTTGCTTGTTTGTGGGTCAGATCGAAAGTTGCTTGATCACTTTTCAGCCACGGTTGTGAACCTTAGATAGTATACCCACAATGAGGACAATTTAAAGCAGAGGGGAATCGGCTGCCATAAGCTCCATAACAGAAGCCCTTCCACACTAGATCAAACAGCTTAGTTTCTGTGTGAGTACATCGAATTGGTGTTTGTGGCAGACGCACCGTAAAACCACATTTTCCACTGGGTGAGCATAAGTCCAGTGGTGGCGTAACGATACTACTCTGTATTGGGATACATTGAAGGTGATACCATACACCATTGACTAAGTCTACGCACTATTAACATATATAGTCTTCCGGAGATGCGATCGTCAGCAAAGGTGATAAAAATGGTCGGGGACTAGGGCCGTACTCCTTTTGAATTGATCTCGCTAGAGTTTGCTGAACTCATGCGTTCTGAATCCTTTCGCAGGTGCATTTTGTGGTCCACCTATATTGAGGTTTCGGCGGGGAGAATATGGTCTCCTGCACGATCCAACGGTTTCGAAAATTAGAGTTATGCACATCGACTCTTGTCACAGCATCCGTCGATAGGTGTTTTCATTCGCCTTCCTTCCGTACTTAAATACAGGGGGATGGCTATCTTTTGTTTCCACATTGAAGAGATTAGCTCTTCCAGCAGAGCTCACTGAATGATGAGCCAAACTGGCCAGGATTTTCGTCGACGACATTCGCGTGTCTGGACATTGGTTGTCCACACCAAGGGATCCGAATCGTTAGTGGAAGCAACTTGTTTCGTATAGCCTTCGGGGTGAAAATGGCGAGTATTTTGCACCGAATTCAATTGTACTTATCACGAAACCACGTTACAGTCTGTACCGTTGTCTAAGATCTTTCGCACTCCCCACTATCATTGTTGAACTATTCGCTGAAGCTAGAGGTAACGTCGTCCCTCACTCAACGATACCGAATAAAGCTGTTTGATTGACTGTTTAGTTGGAAGTCCCTCTCAGAGGTAGACTAAATCCCAGTAGGCTAAACAGACCAAGGCTCGAACAGATGCGTGTCAGGCATCAGTCCAGCAAGAGAGGATGGAAATTGATCCGAATAAGCTCGGTACTGTGTTGCCTGTCATCAGGTTGGGCTTCGCAGCACAGTTTGTTATTTGAGTCAGAGTTACCAAAAGAACAGATTTAGGCCAGCTCTCTGATTCGGCCACTCCTTTTCATCTCACAATTAGAGTTCAGCGTATCCTTTGCGTGCAAACTACAACAGATGTTCTACGCGACGTAACAAGTTGGAAGTCCCTCTCAGAGGTAGACTAAATCCCAGTAGGCTAAACAGACCAAGGCTCGAACAGATGCGTGTCAGGCATCAGTCCAGCAAGAGAGGATGGAAATTGATCCGAATAAGCTCGGTACTGTGTTGCCTGTCATCAGGTTGGGCTTCGCAGCACAGTTTGTTATTTGAGTCAGTTACCAAAAGAACAGATTCAGGCCAGCTCTCTGATTCGGCCACTCCCTTTCATCCCACAATTAGAGTTCAGCGTATCATTTGCGTGCAAACTACAACAGATGTTCTACGCGACGTAACAATGCACCTGGATTGGTTGAGAACTTTCGTCCGTCTCATTCATTATCCTCTCAGGGGATCATACCCGCGCGCCTATTGGATGTATACATGGGTGAAGTCAGCAGACGAGTTGGTTCAGAGCTTAAAGCGTGATCTAACAACAACGGAATAAATCTGAATAAGATACAAGAGTGACCAGTGGCCATAGAGCCACAACCACACAGCTGGGGTCATCCAACCTGTCATGAGGCGATGATTTTTCTTGCGTAGAGTCGCACACTAAGTCGTAGGGAGGGGACATTGTAGAATAGTTAGATGAAGAGAGACTTTCCAAAAAGGCTGTGAGGATTTCTTATCAACTATGGTTTGGCCAAAAATCCCTGCTCCCGTGGCATACACACTCGCACACCGCTGTCCTATTACATACATCTACAGCACAGCCTGCTGTGTAGTCGCATCTTTTGGCGCATCATGGTAAAATCGATCATCTCAATAATAAATCTTTAAGCTGTAACACCTTTTCGGTGCCTAACTGCCATACCACCCAAAGAAAGCATGAGGGCTGGGATACGGCCAGGTTGCCCAAGCCTAGACAGGGGAAGTCGAGAGGCAGATGTCGGGGTCGAACCACGGACCTTCCGGTCAATACATTCGCGTTCTAACCATTTGGGCCATTCATGACAATAACATCGATCAGCTCAACAAACAGGCAAATGGTCATGTATACTGCCGATACACTCCCCAATGGCGAACGACAGTGTATCGTCCGAAATACATCTTACTTAGTAGTGGACCTTGTCGAAGGTCTGCATCATATGTTGGGACGTGGAGTCGAAATTCATTTGCTTGAGGATAGATGGCCCGAAACCGCCTAATTAATACACCGAACGTAACGGATGACAAAGAACATTGAAATTCGTTGACGAATCGCTGGCAGTTCAGTTACGGTATTGAATAATTCACAGTGTGCCTTATCCTGCTGCAATATCGCAACAGCATGTTCCCATCCCAAAGCTACCGATCCACTACATAGAATAAGAGGAAAAGGATAGTAAATTGGCACGTACCTTTGCCTCTCTTTACGGTTCCTGGAGTCAACTTTAGTTTGTACTTGTAATTTTGCAAAGCGCTGTATGGGGCGCATACGGGCATGGCGTAGAGCAGTACGTCATTCTCTCGTGGTTGTCCTGTGAATGTGTCCATCAATCTCAGCCAGTCGTCCTCGACTGCTTGCTTGCCCTCCTGTTCATCTTCATTATCAGAATCCGGGCGACGGGTGACGGGCGGCTGCTCCTCCAACTGCAGCTCATCCTCGCTCTGTGAAAGTGCTATGTCGATGCACTCTTCCTCTTCGCTGTTTTTCGGCGCCTCCTCATTGTCACCCGATTTATGTGAATTCCCTTCATCTCCCTCGGCAGCTATGATATTTGGTTCCTGAGCGAAAGGCGGCCCTAGGCGTTTATGGTGCTGACTCAGTTTGGCTCTTTCACCCTGGAAAATAGGAACACATACTTTTAACATATTAGTTTCCTACACAGAGACGGTGGATGTAACGTGAGCAACTGTGTTTAGAAACTCATTCTCGATGCTAACAGTTGCAATGATGGCAATCTCGGGACAGTGGTATCCTCTAGAGAAAACCACTCGGGGGAAATGATCAAAGTAATCTTAGTTGGAGGGAGGTGGGAATTATCTTGACTGAATTACCAGTAAATACCTATGCGTATACCTTGCATCTCCAACTACGGGGAAAATAAGTCGTCATAGTTAGAGTACTGCACTTTTCTAGTCCCTTCGATGTGCAGTTAGGAAGCGTACTGCACTTTTCTAGTCCCTTCGATGTGCAATTACCCTGCACTAGAGAGCCAATCAGAAGAAACCGACGAAAGCAGTCTCGGCCTTTGGAACCTCCAGGAGACCGAAATTCGTTACAAAGATGAGAGCTATGAGACATTTGCAAGCTCGACAGCCAGTAAACACACCCGAGCTGCTAATATTCCGGCATTTTAAACATCTACCGTTTGTATTTTGGATATAGTCGTTCCAGGAACGACATTTCCTTAGCAGCGGGTGAGCGAGAAATCAGGGGTGCGAATGACCGAGCAATGAAGGCCCAACAGCAATGATAATCATGGGGTGCAAAAGCTACACAGTCGAGACAGTAGACTCCATCAACACAATCGGACTATGCAAGTATTTGAGAGGAACACTGAATTTTGCGGAAAGCTGATGATACCAAGGTTATTGAAAACAGTGTACGATTATGAAGCTTCCCTATGTAAACTTGCACTTGTGTTCCTTAATTTCACGATCCATCCCTTATCCGTTATGTCGCATTACTCTTCGAAACAGCGTCACTGCCAAAATTAAAAAAAATCTTCAAAGGACAACGACAATTCGATCACATTTATGAAGACGGATAAACCGAAAAATGGCTGCAAATATAGAGTGGGATAAACTTGGATAATCAACAGGTAGACTGCCGCGGACATCGTGACAAGGCGCCGAACATAATTAGTCTATCATACGACCCGACAATTTACCAAAGGTCCCCACTAATGTTTGCACTAAACACTAACAAGAAGGCTTGGCAGGGGCTCCAACAGGTCCGGGTCGAACCCTGTACTAAAGCAGATCGATTCAGTTCAGATTCATGGTTGTACCATTTTTACGCACCAACAGGCTTGTGAATGGAAGTGAATACTTTATACCTATTTAACTCAGCCAGAAAAAGGGAAACAACCGAACTACTACATCGATGTCTTTTGGAAATCGCGTCTTACCGACTTTAACCCAAACCAGGTGAACACGCCTTCCGGTGAAGCGGAAACCTGCGGTTAATTGCGAGTTACCGGATAACTGCAATCCTCAACTATGGACACTCTAAACACCGCGCTGTCGGAAAATTTTCAATGGGAGCGAGCCAAGCGTAACTAGCTTCTATTTCATCGCAACTAACTGGCAAGATGATCCGATTTCCAACCTATAAAAGTACACATGACGGGTACTCCGTAGTTGAAACAACATGAGAACATGCTTACTGTGCCGGGATAAACAATCAGTAGAGTGTACTGCGCTACGGAGTCGAGTTGGTGTTGACTCACGTGAACTGCCTCGCTGGAATGGCGTTCATCATACGGTCACTATTTATAGGTGTGATTATTTCAGTGTTCATAGAGGGGAGCCTGGAACTCGTTCAATTGGCGTGGACCGATCAGAAAATGTCGGTAATGGTGTTTTGGATTATGTGTTACAAGCCTAACAGGTTTCCAGCCCTAAGCAGACACAAGAATGAGTCAACGGTTAATGCAAATCTGCCATGTGGCAATACAATGGAGGATTCGACGATCAGCACTTTCATCATGCCTTATCGTTAGCACTCCTTCATGGGTGAAAGCAGGAAGAAAAACAGTCGTTTAGTGAGCGTTCTCTGTGTTACAGCAACTGTCTGCTGTGGCAGTTCGAGATTAGCGGTCGACATATTTCTAAACAATATCAATGTTCCTGGGGATTTCAGAGATCACGTTCCCAGCAGTGCTCATCAGAAAAATGCGAATTCATTCACTTATGACAACAGAACCGTTAAATTGAGAAAGACGATCGATTTCGAAAAACGCCCCATGACCAAAGCTGTTATGGCAAGGCATTGGGCTTTAGACAAGTCAAGGCAGTATAATGGAGGATTCGACGATCAGCACTTTCATCATGCCTTATCGTTAGCACTCCTTCATGGGTGAAAGCAGGAAGAAAAACAGTCGTTTAGTGAGCGTTCTCTGTGTTACAGCAACTGTCTGCTGTGGCAGTTCGAGATTAGCGGTCGACATATTTCTAAACAATATCAATGTTCCTGGGGATTTCAGAGATCACGTTCCCAGCAGTGCTCATCAGAAAAATGCGAATTCATTCACTTATGACAACAGAACCGTTAAATTGAGAAAGACGATCGATTTCGAAAAACGCCCCATGACCAAAGCTGTTATGGCAAGGCATTGGGCTTTAGACAAGTCAATAGTTCTGCCACACACCTGTAACAATTTCATCCGAGCCATCCGTTCGTCTTCATCTTGTGTTCCGTACTTTTGTTTGATCTTCCGTAATTTCGATTTCTGTCCCCGTTTTATCGGTCCGGCATTAGACTTTTCTGCGGACGTACGATTATCTTCCACAGTCCCGTTGGGTAACTTGTTCGATTTATCCACTACTGCCTTGTCCTTCTTGTTCGTCACCGTGCGCGTTGAAGCACCTTTGCCACGAGAGCACGTAATAGTGAAGTGGGAGGATTCCGTATCTGCGGTTGTTTGAACCCTGAAACGAAATGAGCAGAAAGAAGACGATAGTTGGCCGGTGGTTTGAGAAGCAGATGTTTCCGCAGGCGTAGTGTGAAGACCACATATTCGTGTAAGTTATTTACTTTATTTACTAATATATATATATATATATATATATATATATACAGG